GAAATCTCATACACTGGAATTGCAAAGTGGCTGAAGGATTAGGGAACTAATATCTGCTGCACCCCAAAGCCATCGCTGAGCCACACGGCCACAGAGTCAGGAAGCAGCACCCAGACTTCCAAGTGAACCCGATCAACCGTTTATTCTTTCTCCACATATTAAAGGCACGCACATTTTACTAGGCGCTTCTAGACAAGACAAACAAAATAGACACTCCTTCCAGGTTCGGCAAATAGACCAATAAAAGAATAGTGAGGTACTGCTAAATAAGTCACACAAGATATGTTATAGATGTACCCATAATCAGTTTAAAACATTTAAAAGGTTAAAAAAAAAACTTGGTGAAAAAAAGAATTGTTCAGGAGAGCTTTTTAATAAAGAAAACAGGACTGCTTATAACGGAACGGTTCAAGTGGGCACTTTCATAAAGGGAACAGGATTAGAGGCTATACCACTGCTCATTGAATTGATTATCTGTGTTATCTTCTACTGTCGCAATTCCATTTTTCGCACTATTTATGATCTATCATGTCATGTTCTTTTTTGCATTTTTTTCTAAAAACAGTTATGTATTCCTAGTTCTATAGCATTGTTTATGAGAAGCCTCGTGCTATCCAAATACATTGTTTTATATGGCATAGTTTGCCTTAAGACTCAGCAAGACAAGGGGGCTATAAGAAAATACATAAAACCACCTGACATTTCCAGTTAAACCCAACAGAGATATCCAAAAAGAATACAACTTTTTTTTCCCTTTTGAGTGGTATTTATGAATGCACACATAAAATGTAAGTAGTTGCACAGTTGGGAAAAAAACAGCATCTTCAAAAAAAAATGCAACGTTGAAGTACATCCTAACAACACCAAGACTTCCAAGACCATGGAAACAACTTCCACCCCATCATAAACGACAAGGTTAACTCCTCCATCAATGCCTCATCCGACAGTTCTGAATTGTGGAAAACACGTGTGCAGGGCAGAGCCAAAACCAGCACAGGAATACAATGGAAGATAGTGAATGGGGCCATCCCAGCACCGTGGGTGTGTGCGTGGCAGGATTATTCCTTCAAAGGATTTCAGCCTCTTTGAGCGGCAGGATCCATCTTTCCCCAGACTCTTGGGCGGGCTGTAACCAGGGCTTTCACCTGGGGGTGGTTTTATGGAATGACTGAGGAAATCAACATTTGTTTTCTTTTATTTCATTCATACTCCGTTTGTACTCCGCCTTTCTCCCCAGTGGGGACCCCAGGCAGCTGACCTCAGTCTCCTCTCCTCCATCTCATCCTCATAACAACCCTGCGCGGAAGGCTAGGCTGAGAGTGACTAACCCAAGGTCACCCAGCGAGCTTCCACGGTACGGGGTGGGGGGATTCGAACCCACGTCTCCCAGAGGCTAGTCGTCCGAATCCTACCCTCTCCCCCAACCCCGCAGTTCATTTCCCACCATCTGAAGAAAGAAAGAGGCGCAGCAAGATCAGGGGAGGGATTCCCGCCGGGGCAAAAGCAGGTGAGAAGCTCAGCAGCTTCCAAAAGCCGCGGAGGGCTAGAAATTTGGAAGGCTGAGGATGCGGCTGTCTTCTTCGTCCCCCACCTGCCCAGCAGCCCTACTCACGGTTCGGCCATCCTGACAGGACCCGCTGCAGCAGGTAGACCGTCAGGCGCTGAAGTTGCAGCCCCGCGTTCGCATGCGGCACGCCTCCAAAGCGCCGGACTGCCGAGACAGGTACATCCCAGGCAGCGCCCCGCAAGCGCGGGGCATGCCGCGTAATGCAGTCCTCTACGGGAAGAAGCGCCGCTGAGTTACCACGTGGGGGAACTACAACTCCCAAGATGCAGCGCGCAACATCCGAGCTGGACTGATTATAAGCCCATCCCGTCGCCGGCCAATCGGAGGCGTTTGTGGGCTGAACGATCTTCCAGGGGTCCCTGCGCTCGAGCAGATACAGACCCCGGGTGTCAAGGGGTTCGCACGTTACGGGGGTTTCGTGGCCGGTAAGGAATCCGTGGCTTGGTCTGCTTGATAGATCCAAGTGGGCAGCTGGGTTGGTGGGAAGCAGCAGAACAAATTTGGAATCCAGCGGCACCTTTAAGACCAACAAAGTTTAATTCAAGGTATGAGCTTTCGTGTGCACGCGCGCTTCTTCAGACAGAATGAAATGGAACTAGAAATAACAGGCATACATATAGAGGGTGCACGAAAGCTCATACCTTGAATAAACCTGTGTTGGTCTTGAAGGTGGTGCCACACCGTACTCCAAATTTGTTAGCCTGCCTGGTTGATGACTGCAAACACGCAGGGCTGTATTATTCTGCGACAGCAGCATGAAACCAGAAGTCCACCGGCGCCTTAAAAACTTAACAACAGACTTAAAAACTTAGTAGGTCACAGGTCCTTTCCGACAAAGAGGGCTGTGTGGCCCCAGGAAAGCTTGGCAAAGTTGCCGCGGGAGAGGCACGGGAGTCCCGTGGATTTTCCAGGCGCGATCACACCCCAACATCTGGGAAGCGCAGTGCTCCCGTGGCTCCCCGCTGAAGGTGTGGATTAAAAAACTAGTACTTGGCCCCGGTCACACGGGTGGCCACCCAGCACACGTCCCGGTCGAGGTCCCGTGGTTAGGGGGGAGATGCCGACCAGATGGGTATCCTGCAGCGTGGCACAGAAGCTGCCCGGCGCGATCGCACTAGCAATCGCTCTTTGTGCGCATGCGCTGTTGGGCGCTGTTGCGCAACCTGCAGAGACAGGCGCTGGATGCCACGTAAGTGCGACTGAACAACAACAACAACAGGTCACAGGTCCTTTCTCACAAAGAGGGCTGTGTGGCCCAGGAAAGCTCATAGTGTAGACTTTATGGTACCCCCCTGGACTTTGGTTTCATCAGGCTGCTGCCTCCCATAAAAACAGACTCTCAGACCACCGAGGTCAGCATTGCCTACTCAGATTGGCGGCAGCGGCTCTCCAGGGTCTCAAGCAGAGGTCTTGGATGTCACTGGAGAGGCTGGGGACTGAACCTGATGAAGCATTTGTCCCCAACTCACTGCAGTCTGATTCTCCTCAGCTGTGGCAAAAATAGTGAGAAATTGGGGGAGGGGGGGTTGTACGCTTCTTGCTGCTACTCAGATGTACCAAGGGATGGAGCTCTTTGCTTAACCACGTGCCAAGAATGCCCCTTTAAATGCTCTGATGCCGCAGACTGACAA